ACCAGGCTGGCCTTGAACTCACAGAGATCCACCTGCCTCTGCCTCCCAAGTGCTGGGACTACAGGCATGCACCACCACACCTGGCTCTATCTTATTTTTTTTTTTTATCTTTTTGAGACAAGGTCTCCTGGTAGCCCCAGCTGTCCTGGAACTATGTAGACCAGGCTGGCCTTGAACTCACAGAGATCTGCCTGCCTCTGCCTCCCAGGTTGCTGGGATTAAAGGTGTGCACCACCCAGCAGCCCACCTTGTATCTTTCATTCAAGATGACAAGGGCACCTCTGGATGCTGGAGATTCCACTGCATCTCTCCACCCTCCAATGCTCAAGAGGATGTCCTGAATCCAAAAGTCTGAATAGATTTCTGGGGCTCTCGAATTAGGTGTAGGGCAGTTGTTCCCAACTCTTTCCTACCCCCTCACTCCTCCAGTGAGCAGCTGCCTCCATCAGTTATGTCTCTCATCATACAGTGGTTCTTAAGCAGAGCCTAAGGGTGGATCTGAAGAATGCATAAAGAGGGATGAAGAGATACAATATAGAAGGCCCCACCCTAGAAATCCTTATACACCACTCAGCCAGCACTGCCCCACTGACTTGCTTCCCTTGTACCTTCCTTTGTTTTGGAATTGAGTTCATTTTAAGCTGGGTGTGGTGGGGTATGCCTTTAATCCCAGCACTTGGGAGACAGAGGAAGGGGGATCTCTGTGAGTTCAAGGCCAGCCTGATCCACACAGTGAGTTCCAGGCCAGCTGGGGCTACAAGGAGGCCCTGTCTCAAAAGATAAAAATAAATAAATAAAAAATACAAAACAAGAAAAGTGAATTGACCTGGGACCACAAACATGGCTGGCCACTGTGTAGGAAGTGAGGACAAAAGTGTAAGATGGAGCTGTAACTTACTGATATTAAACAGCAATCACTTGTGTGATCCTTGAGAGCTTTTGTTGTTAGTGCTGTTGTTTTTAGATAGTATCTCCTGATGTAACCCAGGTTGATTTTGATCTCACAATTCTCTAGCCTCAGCTTCCTGCAACTACAAGTATGTTACCACACAACTTGATCACTAAGATCTGTATGTCAAGATAGCTTTAACAGAAGTTCCTTAGCTGCAAAGGCATGTATCAGAACAGAATCATTTACAAAACCAAGGTTTGGATATTTTTTTTTAAAGGAAAAAATTTAAAGTTGTCTTATTTATCTTCAAAAAACAAACTGTTCTTCCCACAATCTATTATCTTCATACTTCAGAGATGAAAACATTTGGGTTCAGCTCAGCTTACCTCTGTTCGTTGATAGGAAACTTCTCCAAGGCTCCACAGTGGGGAAAAAAGGGTATAATGTTGTATTGAAAAGAGATCACAGCTCCTCAGATGTCAGTGGCTGACCCAGTGCTTTGGACTCGCACACTTTAGAATCTTTGGAACTGGCCAGAGCCCAGCTGTTATTATCCTGTTTCTTGTTTTGGGGAACTATTTCTTTTTTCTTTCCTCCTTCCTTTTGTTCTCTCTCACTCTCTCCCTTTCTTCAGTTTCAACATTCCATGACAGAGAAAATAAATCCTAATTGTAAAGGCTATAAGTGAAAAAAAAATCCACAGGAATTCAGGTGGAGTCTTGAACTTGCACTGTAGTTCACAATCAGTTCCAAGGTCAAGTTGTCATTCCAATTATGAACTGAGACAATCCACCAAACTCACAGAAGACTCCTGGCCAACACAGCAGTGTATAAGTCTAGATAACACTATCTCTGAGACTCCAGCATACTCGGATGGATTCTTTGTTATTATAAAACTATAATAAAAAATTGAGTCGGTTAATTTTTTTTAAAGGGCAGGAGGTGTTCTTAACAAAGGAAACAGAAAGGTTCTTCTTGCAAGCTATTTCATGAAGGCTGAAAGTCCACTATACAAAACTTTGACTCCTTGAAACAGCACACCTATGTACGTAGTAGTACATTATGTATTTCCTGGTTTTGCAACCTGCTTAGCAAATATGGCATATATGCAAATTATTAGTATCTAATCCTCTCCAGATCCTACAGTCATTATCTTTTGCTAGTCACACTGTTCTCAATGAAGATAAATAATCATAAACCAGGTGACAGAAAAATTGACTGGAAAATGTATGGCTTTTATTTAGAAGCCTCATCATAATAGTTTTCTTAAGCTTCAAGACTATAGGTAATTTTACAGAAAAAGATAAGCAAATTTCTAACTACAAAATGAGATGATTCAATCTTGAACCCAAGCAGAATGCTGAAGGCACTAATAAACAGAGAAGGCTCAATGCATGCTACAGATAGGAAAGTGCTTGGTCCGTTCCCATGTCTATTTGAACACACATGGTAGGAGAGAATCAACCCACACATCCCCACACATCCCCACCCACACCCACCAACACACAAATGTAATAAAATGTTTTAAAAAGGACGATGAACACGTAAGATAGGATTACACACTTTAATCGGATTGACATGGAGAAAAGTAGGAGGATGTGAAAGAAATTTAGCTTTAGGTCCACTTGCTTTATATATAACCAGATGTGATTTTTCTAAAAAGTACACCAAGGTCTTAATCACATTCTGTCAGAATCCCTCAGGAAAGCACATGATGTATAATCCAAGAAATGCACTATTTCCAGAAAGGAAAATCACAATGGGCAACAGAAGATTAAAACAAAAGAAAGCACCAGGTTTTTGAGCAGTTCTGCGTTGAGCATATCTGCAGAAATAAAAAAGTTCCTGACTAGTTGCTATGGAAACATGCTAATGAGGCCTGGTCCATGTCTTACCACTGTTTTTCTTCAACTGTGTTTCTTTGGAAAGTGGCAATGTGAGCTCGTAGTGAGGTTGTCCTTTTAGACACCCAGCTTATTGGCCTGAGTGAGAACAACTTTGAGAACTGGCATGAACGCAGAGGTCTCGCTGAAATTGCTGGTGCTGACTATGTGGGTATGGATGGTCAAGCCTTCGGAGTAGTTCCTTGTCTCAATGCTCCTCGCAATGTTGTGTAAACCGCTGATGATTGTTGGGGAAAGCTACAATAAAGGTGTAATCAAGAAAAAGAATTACATTAAGGGAGAATTTCTCATGAGACCCTCTAAAAGCATTAAACCCTGAGAGCTTGAAATAAATGATTTTAAAAGGTGTAAGCCAATAGCAATTCTGGAAACAGTTTCTTAAGCAAGCAAAAATAACATTTTAAGGTGGAGCCGTGGCAAAATGACTCATGTAAAGAGCCCATTCATGAATTATACAGGTGTTATCAAACAAGGTATTTTCTTACTGAAAACCAGCCATATTTCCTCTCCAAGCTGGAATGCTAACATCTCTTTCCAGTTAAGAACTAATTCCCTTT